TATATATATTATCCTTTTACGTTTATTGTGGAGGGGAAAAATAGTATAAATAAGAGAGAATATCGATAATATGAAGAAAAAGGAAATATATTAAGAAGTTTCATAATAATTTCACCGAAAATATTAATTATATTTCGTAATTTTTATCCGAAATTAAAAAAAAAATGGCATGAAGGAAGTTTTATTTAGTTAACATTAAATTTGTCTTTTTCTTAAATTACTGCTAATATTGATGGGACTTACTTTTTTCTTTTTGAAATATTTTTACTTATTTTAATTCTTTTAATTTCTCTAATTAGTAACATATTTATTGATTTAATTTTAATGAATATGCATGTGAAGAAATAAAGTAAGATTCCAAAATACTTTGCATAAAAAACAAAATTAGACTCTCAATATATAAATGAATGTATATATGAGTAAAGAGAAACAAATTGTAGTATTTTTTTTAAATAATAAATTTATTTTATTGTTAATTAAATTAAAATAAATCTTATTATTGACCACAATCAAGTAAGGAAAATATGAATAACTGAATTTCTTTCATAAGAGATGCATAATTTGGATATATCTAATGTGTTTGGTGCCAACTTATTCGTAATTATGTTCATATATAATTATTTATTTATTTTTTTTAACTCTTCCAAATACTATTTAAAAGTGCCTCCAAATTAATATAGACGTATACAGGGTGCCTAAATGGCTAAACATTATACGTTAATTTTTGAAAATACCTATTCAATGCTATGAGAATGAAAGAAACAGAATGAATAAATAAATAAATAAATAAATAATGAGCGCATACTGGAGGAGCAACCATCCAAAAGCTCCAATTTTTAAGGAGCACAAAATAAAATTATCTAATTTATATAATATAAAAATAAGTGTACATAATTAAATTATATAAAAAGTTATTAATGAAAATAAATAAATTATAAAGAATTAATTAATTGATAGGTGATATTTTTAATTCTCAACGAAAATCCAGAATTTTGAAAAATAATTTATCAATAATTTTAGAAAAATAATAATTTGGTGAGGTTAAATATAAAGAGAAAAAAATGATATATTATTGATTTATTTCATTATATTTCTCTCGACATGAACTTTTATGAATGTTAATATAAAATTATAAATAAAGGTTATCTTAAATTTTATTTTTGTTTCTTTGTCTCTAATTTCTCTTATTACATCTCTATTTTTTTTTCCCATATTCTATTAAAACTTTAAAATCAAACTGTGAACTTTCACTTGTTAATTGTTGCATAGTAATAACTGCAAATTTTGGATGCGAGTGCTCGAAAAATTATAACAAGTTCGGGGCGAAGCTTTCATTTGGTCATTTTAGAGAGGTAGAAAAATGCACTGCATGAATTACGTATACATTGTAGAGAAGGACGAGTTAGGTATACTATATAAGGCACAGAATTAGCAGTGTTCATATATAAGCTAATATTTACTACTAAGAGGTTAGGAAATTTGGTTAGTTTATAATTTATATTTTAATAAATTCAAAGAGGAGGAATCATTTTACTCCATAAGTAAATTTATCTAAACTTACTTCATTCAATAATTTATGTTTTACATTAAATTTTAATAATCTAACCGTTCAATTTAAAGTTCTTGATGCATAGATCAAATCTGCAAAATTTTAGAAAAATTTGAAAATCATTTGATACTTCATTTTATTAATTCAAATTGACGGATAATCATAAAATCATTTTATACATTGATTCGAATTAATGAAATGAAGTATCAAATGATTTTCAAATTTTCTAAAAATTTGCAATTTGATCTATATATTAAAAACTTTAAATTGAATGGTTGGATCATTGAAATTTGATGTAGAACATGAGTTATTGAACGGAGTAAGTCTATGTAGACTTCCTCCTGGAGTAAAAGGATCCCTCCACAAATTCAAATCTATTTATATATAAAAGCATGAGTTACACTCTATTACGTTGATATGTCATTATAAAATTAATTTTACATGTTGTTATGTCAGCATATTTGTCTATATGGCAGTGTTTTAAAAATCAGATCGGACTGGTTAGTTGGATCAGTTGAATCGGGAACCAGTGGTCTAGTCGGTTCGAATCTTGAGTTAAATTAATAATATATTTGACCTGTTTCAAACTAGAGTGAACCGGTCAGCTTTTCGGTTCAACCAATGAACCGGTGGGTCAAACCAGTTCAATAAAAAAAATTAAATATTTTTTTATTATGTATTTCTTTATACAAAATAAAAATAAATATAATTTTAAATAAGATGAATATTGAAATTTAAGATGAGATATGAATTTATTGAAATTTATAAGTGTAAAATATATTTAACATGAATATTTTTTTTAAAAAAATAATAAAAATCAGGTCATGCAATTCAATTAGTGACCCACCAGTTCAATCTTTAACACTAACGCAATACCCTAGCCGGTTTAATGACTAGTCCGATTGTTAAAACCAGTGTTTTAAAACCCGGATCGACCCGGCCGGTCGGACCGGTTGGACCGGGAACCGGTGGTCCAGCCGGTCCAAATCTGAAGTTAGATCGGTTATGCAGTCGACCCGTTTCAAACCGGATTGAACCGGTTAATTTTCCGGTTCAACCGGTGAACCGGTGGGTCAAACCGGTTCAACCACTTTTTTTTTTTATTTTTTTTAAGGGACCATAAATCACAAAAATAATAATGAAAATTGAATCTCTTAATGAAAAAGCAATGAGTCTTATTAAATATAACAATGACTACTTGTTCTAATATATTTGTTTGCAATATATACAACTTAAATAACTTTTATAGTATATTATTAATTTTAAATTATATATTTAATAATGCAATATCTATGTAAATATTACAT